TGAAGGAAGCCTTCTGGGTATTATGATGACGAAAACATGTCGCTAAGCTCAGACTCAACGAGAGGAAAACTCCAGTAGCCATACAAAGGAAATAGGGATAGTACGCAGGGTACACCGCGATCAATCAGTTCGGTTTCGCTAGAGCGATTCTTTCAATCTATGCCATCGTCTTCACGCTTGTCATGTTTCGGATTGGCTGCATGAGCAGAAGCCGACAAGCTGGAGCCAACACGACTTCGCCGTTGTCTCGATGCCAACACATATGGCATACCATCTTGCGAACCATATCGTCGAAGGGATGTATCGTCGTAGTGCTCCAATAAACGTACAACCAACGCATGACGCAGACAGTGAGTTGAGAGTTGTTCATGCGATGAGACGGGTACTTTGGGGAATCGATCGAAGGGCTGTGGAAAGTCCGCGACTCGATATTATGCAAAGAATCAACCGTCCAGTGTATCCCAATAATATCGTCGAGCGAACGGTGAATAGAGAGAGCATCAGGAGAACCACGTCAAAGCTCTGTTTATGGGTGGGCAGCCAAAGAGTTGTGTTCCTTATGACGGCGACCAGTTTGTTCTTTTCGTACTCCATATCATGTAAATTTCCCGCATTCCACGATCGGTTGTCAGAGACGGACTCAGCGATTGAAGCCGACCATGGATGCACAGCGACTGCAGTAGTATGAATTCATGCCGAACCGAACGACGCCTGGGGTAGATTCGTTTTCGAGGCTCATAGAGCGCTGGCACCTCGAACAACGGACGATATCAAAGCCCATTGAGGTAGGTCCGGAATCGGCGGTTGAGGGCGAGGTAACAGGCTTGGTGCCAGTGGAGGGTTGATGTTGGACTTGGACAGACGGCGCGCTCATTGTCACTATCCAGAAAATCGGAGATGGTAGCAATAACAGGAAGAGTTGGCCAAGATATGCGACCGACTAATTCTGAGAATCAGGCCCAGTTCTTTCGGGGCCCTTGATAAAGTCGAGAAACAGGGAACCAGAGGCAATGCGTGGCAGACAGATGAAGTGGTGGGGAAATCAAGGATAAGCTCCAGTCCAAAGCAGGGTTTGCAGAAGGAATTCACTGAAATATCCGTCGAGTAGAGTCGTGGTCAACTTTGTATTCCAGTGAACCCTTGAGCAAACCTGATCTGCTGGTGATGGGAGAGAAAGGAGGGAGAAAGGCGTGCGATTTCAGGTGTGGATAGATATACAAGACGTTAGTCAGTGGGGGACACTGGGACAGTGGGACAGTCGAAGCCAGGTATCTCCAGGTATAAATTATTATTATTGTTAGCGTACCACCGCCAAGGGGGCCACCCCGTAGATTGCTGTCTAAAGGGTCAGATCGATCCACTCTCCAGTTTTTTTTTGTTCCTTTTTTTTTTTTTTTTTTTTGCCCCTTTGCCTCCCTTTGTTTTCTTCTAGCTTGTACTAGTAGAAGAAGAGGGCGCAAAAAGAATATCGACTATGAAAGAAAGGAGGAGAGTGCCGCAATCGATTCCCAATTGGGTTAATGATATGGTACGGAGTAAAGTGGTTTGGAATGGAAGTTGGCTTCGGTTTCAGACCGGTGGCCACGCAATCAATGAATCCGAACTTTGGAGGTCTGAAGAATTAGTCCTTAATATGGACGGTGATGGTTGCTGTGAGTTGGAATGATGATGTGGATATCAAGGTATGATGATGATGAGCATCATGATGCAGGAAATTGTACCTCTCTATGTAGTACAAAATTCCTGCTCTGTGTGAAGAGTGTGGATGGATGCTGATAAGTACTGGAAATGTGGAGGCCAAACTAGCAGTTTCTAGATTAATACTGACAGTGTTGATGATTCTCTTATGGCATTGAGTTGGTACATCAGGATACATAGCTATCACACCACTCTTGATAGAATCATGCATATTATTATTATTACCATCATATCATCATTATTATTGTCATTAAGTGCTGTGATTGATTAGCCTAACTTAGAGTGCCCTGAAACTTGTTGTCGCATCGCGGAACCAGAGCGTTCGCTGACTGGCGGGTTGCTCTTCGCCAATGAACACGCCCGACCATATACAGTCTACCTAAAGGTACCGTTTAGGTACAGGGATGGCATCGGAACCAATCCCTTTCTGGGATCGTTCCATGCATCTTCATATCTCTTTACAACGGTTATCCTGCAGAACCCCCCAATAGAAATCTCCCATGAACCTCCGAGGCTCGACGGTCATGTCGTCATGGCCTGGCTTGACCAGGTTTATTGATTAAAATCAATTTATTTCCTCAGCCACTTATTCAAAATCGATCTTTCCAGTTCTGACTCCGGCTATTGATATTGGATGATCCGACAAAACTGCAGAGCGCATGAAAAATATCAAATGCCCAAAACGGCCTAGTGACGATAGTCAAACTATTGACTTCTAGTAGTACTACTTGGGACAAGTCCTGAGGCAACGAAGGAGCGCCGAAGATAATAATAATTGTTTTCAAATCTCAATTCTCACATAATATCTTGAACTAAGGCTACGGAGCGGCTACGGAGCGTGGCTGTTTAAAGCTTGTAAGTGGCTCGTTCAAACTTCAGCAGATCCATGAACCTTCGGGGCTGAAAGAATGATGATGTTCCATGGCTCGGACTACCTGAGATATCCATCCAGTACGATTGGTCGAAGGGTGGGAATTATCTTCCATACTTGCAAGCATGACGCCCCAGATATTTTCTTTCTACGCACAGTAGGAGACTCTTGACTCCCGTCGTGATCTATTAATTTGGCTAATTTGGCGTTGTAAGTTCGTATTCGTATGAATTCTAATGGTCTCTTGTACGTACTCGGATATAAATCTCGGCAATACGCAGCAGATACCAGATCACTGCGCTGTTGAGAAAAGCCTAGGGAATTAACTGCGGCTGTGCTGCATTCCTTTGAATCCTTGGGGCTTCAGAGTACCCACCTTGGGCGTTTCAGAATCTCGTCTGACATGAGCTGAATACTCGCTGGAGCGAGCCTGAGTCGCTGTCAGCCTGTCAGTGGCTGATCATTTTCCTCATGAGTCACGGTAGCTACTTCCGAGGCTCATATCGTATTAGTCTGATCCATCTCTTATGTCTCGGAGACTCCATCAATGTGGCTGATCTTGTCCTGTAGATTACCAGTAGTCCAGTACGCTATTCCAGTTGCGGTCACTTCAATGACACAGTCTTTGTCTCCTCCATAACAAGGTTAAGGGAATGTCGAGCTTTCACTCAACTCAGGAAAAGCTTTGCCTTGACCAGCTGTTAGTGAATAAGGTTTCGTTCAGTTACTGGAACTTCAGGTACTTTCTGTATTTTTGATTTAGCATCATTTCACATCGCTTGTCTATTTTGGAGTTAGGACTGCGACCAGCTCTGAAACCAGTTGAACGACAGCGGACCGAGGGGACTAGATATGGAGATGTTCAGAGTCCGAATACGGTCTACGGAGTAGATATTATCAATAATAGTGGTACAGGAGACGGCTCGATTAGGAGCATTGATTTTACAGACTATAGATGAACAGTGCCCCAAGATAACCTAGTCAAGGCTACATATGAGGCAATTTAGGAATGGAATCCCTCTTTTGAGTGATTTTCTCCCATCTAGCCGATTTCCGAGAGATCCATGCTAATAATCGGGCAATCGGACAACGCACAACGCGATTCAATGGGACGGCCTGCCATTACAGCTGGCTCCATAGGGCCAGTAATATCTGCGGTGCCTGATTAGACAGGCCTCTTCGCTCTCATCTTGCGGCATCTCACCAATCCGAGCATGAGACTGTGCCGAGAATCATCCAACTGCCTAACCATCTTGCCCCCGGCGTACACACCATACAGTCGCGTCTCGAACAAATCTTCCCGACTATGAAGTGCGTTGTTTTCACTTGCAGGATGCACGAGCCCAATTCTTCGGTTCTGCCGCTCCTGCGTCTACATCCGCCACCAGATTAACTTGAGGACGGGCCTCTTTCTTAGTATATTCATTTTGAAGTGGTCGAACTTCCAAGTACAGCCAGCACTTTACGGAATATGCCACTGGAGCCGACACTCCACAAATAAGTGTAAGGTTGTCCGGAGTAACTGCGAGATTTCAGTCTGCAGCATCTGCAAGGCGTTGTAATAGTGTAACCTTGAGAAGGTCGTCCCTTTTCCAGCATGGCGGCAATGGAGGGGGGTGAAAATTTTACAGGAGTTTCGATACTTACTGTGGAAGTTCAATACAACACTTGTGTAGACCAATGGCTGGAAACCTTTATGGCTGGATGACGCGTGCCTACGGTCGAGTTCGTGGCAGTCATGCTGCTTGCATAATTATAGGACTCTCCCATATCTGAATCCTGACAAGAGGGGATACAACGCTGCTGTTGTGACATCATCTCACATGTGCTGGTCAAATAGTTGTGTTGATGATGGACAAACTAGCGCGATTCGGGATGACCAACACACTTCTGGGCAGTTAATGGTTATAGATAGGCCGGAGAGACGAGAGAATATTACTATTGAGCCTTGAGAGTGTTTTGCTTGGTCTCCAGCTTCATCCGATCTCATCCTTTCTTATCAACTGGCCAGTTGGTGGAATCATGCCGACGTCATGGAACATTCAGAACTGCTCGCAGCCAACTACCTATCGAGGGTGCTACCTCGAGTCACCCAACCACAGACTCGCATTGAAGCTTCTTCCCCCTTCGATCACAAAACCACCTAGGTAGCACACTACTGTGGGTTCACAGTTCGACTATTTGAAAAGAGAGCCTGCTGCAAGCCGTCTGCTTGATTCGTCCTTGGTGGATAACTCAGGGCCAACTAACTCCCTGTCCCACTACTGCACCTACCCCGCCAGGGCGCTGTTGACCGAAAATCTGCCAACAACTCGCTCGTGCTCCTGTCTTCACACGCAAGTCACAAACAAAGTCACAAAACCTTCCTGGGAGGCTGCAGCATATCCTTGTCCTACGAACTTTGTGCATTGTCAAAGCGACGATTTACACCATGGCCGGCACAACCCCGAATCTCTACAGCTTTCCCAACACCGACGCTTTGGCCCCGCACTTGAGGGCCTATGTGCTCCGGTGTCAGAACTCCGCCATCAATCGCCACAACACTTTCCGTGTCGCTGTATCGGGCGGTTCTCTACCAGCAGTTCTCGCCAAGGCTCTCCTTGCGCCTTCAAACGGTTCTCCCGAGGACACTGTCCGGTTCGATAAATGGGACGTTTTCTTCGCCGACGAACGCGCTGTCCCTCTTGACCACCCTGACAGCAACTACCGCCTGCTCAAGGATGAGCTCCTAAGCAAGATTCCCGCTGAAATGGGCACTCCTAAAGTTCATCCCATCGACGCCGACCATGTCAACGATGACGACACGCAGGAGCTTGCGGACCTGTACCAGGACGACTTGATGCGCTCGTTCGCTGCCAAGGACAGCGTCAAGCTGCCTGTCTTTGATCTCATTCTTTTGGGTTGTGGTCCCGACGGTCACACCTGCAGTCTCTTCCCCGGCCATGAACTGTTGCGAGAGAAGGATGCCTGGGTGGCCGCGGAGACCAACTCGCCCAAGCCGCCACCAAAGCGCATAACCCTCACGTTGCCGGTTGTCACGCACGCCGTCAGCATCGCTTTCGTGGCCACTGGAGCGGGAAAGAAAGAGATCCTGAAGCAGATTTTCGATGCGGAAGAGGGACGGGATCTACCCTCGGCGCTCGTCAACCAGGGTGGTGGGGAAAAAGTGAGCTGGTTCACCGACCATGCTGCCATTGATGGGGTTGCATTCCCCAGACGTGGAAGCTTGTAAGCTGTGTTGTGGACTTATGAATGGCGTTATGTTTTATTGCTACTTTTTGCTTTTGAGAACAGTCACGGGAGCAAAAGTACCTCTACCTTTCACACGAGTCTTCTAGGTTTCCTGGCTGGCGTTACGGCCTAGAAATTGGATTAATGCAGGGACAGTGACTTTGAACCGAGATTCATTCTTATCATGAGTCTACTCTCAATGCAATGAGTTCGTCGTTTGGCCTTGGTCTTCATTTAGAAGTGAAGGTGACAGAAAAGTCTACATAGACGGCGGTGAGGGTAGTCAAATGCCTAGCTTGAGAACATTGAAACATTGAATGTTTTATGAATGACCGTATATACGAACTATTACCGTAATCAAATGAAGAAATAAAGCACCCGTCCAGGAGCATATCCGTAAGCTCCAAGTATCCTGATTGTCGACAAATACGGAGTACAACTCGTGGAGATCATCTGCGCCAAGCTTCGTTCTCATTGTTAGTGTTTACAAGATCCTTTCCTGCACGAAGCCGCATCACTCCTGACTACCTCGTCTTCTAAGTCATTAAACACCCAGGTCAGACACAGTTATACTTATTTTTATCCCTCCCATTTAGAGAAATGACTCAAATGATCTAAACCCAAGCGCAACCATGCCAATTCCTACTCGCTCCCTTTCCCTCAGAGGACAAAGTAAACAGGTTAGTGTTGCGAATCAGAACCAACCCCTTGCCCAACCAGCTACGCAGTCGGTCCAAACCAGACCCCTGTCTCTCGGCTTCAGCTTCGTTTTTATTCCCACACATCTACGTGGCTATTGGCTGGAATACGTTACTCACTCTCACCAAGTCCACCGCGGGACGCACAGCAGGGAGCAAAATGACAGATGGCGATGGCGATGGCGACGGATCCGCGGACACGAGCGCAAGCACAAGCACAAGTACGAGCACAGCCGATCGCAGAAAAAGTCTCCTCCCTCAGCGCAGTATCCCCGTTCGTGATCGAGATGGTGCTGCACCGGTGCGGCAGCAGCTGGAGACACGGTTACAGCGAGGGAGTCGAGTCTTGAGTAAGATGCCGGTAACACAGAAGCAGCAGGAGGAGGGACCTTCGGAATCCGGCACGCCAGTGACAGCACCGGCGCCAGCGGCAGCTACAGCTACGGCGGCGAATACTCGACGACGGAGTTTGATGCGACCTAGCCCGTTGAAGACGGGGACAGCTACAGCTACGAATGCGGGCACAAGGACAGGGACGGGGACGGGGACAGGAACAGCGACAGGGATTGGAACGAACCCGAGCGGGAGGGTCGCTACGACGCCGAAGAGCGCGACCTTCGGTGCGCAGGGATTGTCGACCTCACCGAGGAAACGGGATGGGGTCTCGTCAATGTCCCCGAAGAAAACGGATATGCCGCCGCCGGCACGGCCGACCCGGTCCGCTTCGATGAGACAGCCTTTGAAAGCTGGTGCTGGTGCTGGCGCAGGTTCCGGGGCCCCGGCCACTGGGGTTAGGCATGTGCGGCACCAGAGCCAGATTGTGGCGCCGTCGTCGAGTCAGACTCGGGTTTCGAAGAGGAGCGACTCGCAGTCTTCTGGGTCCACGTCTACGACGGCGGGGTTGGCAGCCGGGAGATCGAGTGGGCAGTTTACGACGTATCAGCAGCAGTTCTCGCCGAGGAAGGTGGTGAGACCGGCGGCTTCGTCTGCTGCCAGGGCGTCCGCGGATGGGGAGGATTCACTGATTCCGGCGGCGTGGCCGGAGATTGCGGCGCTTCAGACGGAATTACTACAGTTGAGCTTGCTACATTCGTCGTCACTACAGCAGATGGCGGCACTGGAGGCCGAGTCGGGGGAACAGCTACAGACCAAGTATGACGCGGTCGCGAAGACGTATCGCGCGATTGTTGGGGAAGAAAAGGAGTGCCAGCGGTTGCTGAATGGGCAGGCCTTGAATCGCTGGCTTGAGAATGCCAGCGAACAGGGTGGTCGCCAGAATTTCGCTGCGCAGATCCAGGTCTTTTCGCAGCTGGTGCAGGAAGTGTGTGATTTGACCGACAGCGGAGGGAGGTATACGATGCTTGTCCAGGAATTCGAGGAATGGTTCCGGAGAGCGCAAGCGATTGAGAGCATGCGACTTCATCGACAACAGGGAGATGCGAGCCATGTGGTTTTCATTGATCCGCTCGATCGCGTATGGAAGGACGAGGTGCACGCCATGACTATGAAGCTTGAACAGAGCTTGAGGCAGCTGCAGAGCCTGGATATCGCGGGCTACGACGGACCAGAGCAAGTGCTAGCTGATGCTGCACTTGTGCGCACAGCCAAGGGACTAGACGTGATGATCGCTTCGATGGTGGACGAGTTGAAAGCGATACGTAGGATCGAAGCGCAGATTGTAAGGTCGGAGAGGGAGTGGGTTAGTCAGCTCACAGCCGAATTGGCTGCAACCCACCCGCGAGATGGGAGGGGCCCGCGGCCTGGAATGTGGAGAACTGCGCTGTTGAGGTCATAGACGATTCTATTTGGATTTATCTGATGGATCGACCATGGAATCCACGGAATATCTATCGCTTCGCAGAGCGTGAGTACCAAAGACATGACGCTCAGTAGCCAGCACTGTACCTAGCACCTTGGCCGCAGCCGTCTAGGGTACTGGCAAAGGACTGAAATTTAACCACGGCCCATACGTAGGTAGGGCTGACGCTAGACAGCACACCTGGTAGGAAGGAGAGAAGAGGGGGAACAGCGAGCAGCAAGAGAAACCAGTCAAAGAAGAGCTGTCTCGAGCAGGCCCACCGACAGCAAACTCGGGCAAAAGGGTTTCACAATGACACATTCAATGCATCTGCCGTCTGTCGGTACGAGAAAGTGTCATCGACAGGGACGGAAAACCTGTTCCTCGCCTGATCCATGATTCCAACCCATCTGCATTCCTGAGACTGCTCACACTCCCGCCAACGGTCTCGACGGGACCCATGAAAATCCTGATCAGTGCAATGGGCCGCGGGTTGATATTCGGGCTAGTATGCCTTGATTTGAACGAATCGCCTCGCGTCACGGAAGTAGTCTCCTTTTTTTTGTCGATCATACACTTTACCTTGGTTTTTTTTCCCAACCATGCAAGTCTCAGAATTCGGGAGTTGGGGGGGGTGGAGGGGCCGCCTGAGAGGTACCGGAAGTCTGGAAGGTTGTCCTTGTTCTCCATAAAAATGATAGCAATCAGCCACTGAAACCTGAATTTGTACGATGCGGAAAACAGGACTTTTGCATTTCCGTGCCCGGGATTCTGCCAGGGTACCTTAATTCTTAGACCTGTTTTGTGTCTGAGATCGCCATTTCGATCAGGATTTTCGGTAGAATGGGCGTTGATGAGTTGATGAAATGATGAGCATAGAATGACAGTGTTTTGCCACGAGTATCTGCCAAGGTCCTAGAAAGGTATTGAACAAAGTAGAGAGGTAGAAGCTGAGAAAACGAGGATAGACAGCGGACAGCCTAACATACTTTAAGCAGTAAGCAAGCTAAAGTATCTTCCCTAGTCTTGCTGGTAGTAGTACTATTTATCTACTACCTATTAGATATTCGGCAGAGTAGCAGCCAGCCAGCCCGCGGGGGCACAGACATCTAGATTCCTGAGTTTGCTGCAACCTGTAAGCCATTCAGAGTGCTTCAAACCGCATCAGAGACAGTGACAGGCGGGCTTGCTTGACTAAGCGGTGGAGTCTCTGCCGGCGCGATCAGCATCGTCGGGTCCGACTCGGGTGTCACATTTCAGAGAAACTCGTGCTGAACGGTAGACTAAAGTAAAAAGATGCGATCCAGTTGCAGATGGTGAGAGAGAAAAGTATACAGCAAGAAGAGGGGCGTAATTCTTGCCGAGACAATATCAAGTAATGATTGACAAGCAAAGGGCTATATATTTATTACTTGTCAGATGTAAGTAGAGGTGGTCTCCAGAAGAAGAATGGATCCAGCAACAGTACGGAGTACAACCTAGAGCACATAGGAAAGACATACATACATACAATAGTGGTTCGGTGGGTTTGAGTCTGGATCTGGAACGGATGGATCGATCTATCTGGCTTAAGAGTCAAGCCTCAAGCCCCCTCTTCCCGTTCTTTTCGTTTGTTCTTCTTACCGTTTCTATCTAATATTCCACCTCTTTTATCCCTCTTTTCGGTCTCATTCCCTTATCGATCCGATCTACTCAGATTAGCTTCGCTGATCTTGCTTCTGCCTTTTCTCTTCCCCGGATCTTCTTCCCCCCTTGTTTCTTACCTGCTTCATCTCTTGTCTACCACATTCTTTCCTGGCCAACTGTCTATCGCTGGGACTGACGTCACCTTCCCCCAAGAGAATCCGACGGCACAGAAGAACAGAAGCTCTGACCCGGTCGAGATGGTCCACACGCCAGGAGACTAGAAAGCCGCCTCCCATTTAGATCGAATATCTGGCCCTAGCTTCTGCATCGACGCCAACCATGAAGGACTCACTGTATGATCGCATCTGGCGCCGGGAGTCGGGATACACTTCACCGTCGGCGACTATTCGTGGTATATATGGCTCCAAGGAATGGATCGACGATTTGGATATTGTAAATGAGCTGGGAGGTCACACAGGCTGCGTCAACGCGTTATGGTATGTGCTAGCTGCGAGACCACTAATCATGGACTTTCTCTGACGAGGTTCCTTGTGTCCGGCGGTAGTTGGTCGCGGTCTGGTCGGCTGTTGGCCTCGGGTTCTGACGATCTGCATCTCAACATCTATTCCTACCAGCCGGAATCCTCGTCCGCGCCCTTTACGCTCAACACCACCCTTTACACGGGCCACAAGGCGAACATCTTCTCGACCAAGTTCATGCCCCATTCGAACGATCGCACGCTGGTGACGTGCGCCGGTGATTCTCAAGTGCGCGTCTTTGACATCGAGTATTCCGCAGGTAACAGCGACGTCGCCGCAACGTCTGCCTTTTCTGCGTCGGCCCGGAGCCGTCGCTTCAACAATTTCTTTAGCAATGCGCGCTATCTGAACGAAACAAACACAAATTGCAGAGTCTATCGGAGTCACGCGGATCGGGTCAAGAGGATTGTCACCGAGTCTTCTCCGTACCTCTTTCTCACGTGTTCGGAGGATGGCGAGGTTCGTCAGTGGGATTTGCGCCAGCCGTCTTCCGCCTATCCGCAGCCGCGCGGGGGACAGGGCTTCATGGCGTACCGGCCGGGTCTGGATCATGACGATTCGAATGTGCCTCCTCCGCTGATTTCGTATAAACAGTACCATCTGGATCTCAACACCATCTCGTGCTCCTCGAGTCAACCGCATTACATCGCGCTGGGCGGCGCCCATTTGCATTGCTTCTTGCACGACAGGCGAATGCTCGGGCGGGATCTGTTTGCGGAAAAGGGCCATCCTGGGGGCCTTTCCGACAGCGGTAGCCATCACGATGAGGAACTCATGGGACAGGCGACGAGATGCGTTCGGAGGTTTGCCCCCGGCGGTAAGAGACGAATGAGCCCACGAGATAATGGGCATATTACCGCCTGTAAGATCAGCGACGCCAATCCGAACGAGATGGTTGTCAGCTGGTCCGGAGACCATGTATACAGTTTTGATCTGGTTCGGAGTCCGGACGCGTACGACCCGGCGTCGGCGGTTCAGAAGTCCGTGCAAGGAAGTCCTAGTTCACGTAGACGCCGAAGCTCAAAGAACAGAAAACGTAAACGGCAAAAGGGAGCTTCGCTGTCGTCGCAGTCTAGCGGCAACCGCCATCAATCGCGTCGGCGATCGGCGGAACACGATGACAGCGGTGAGCTAGCCTTCAGAGTCCGCTATGGCAATGGAGAGATGGAGGATATCCCGTTCCCCTCGCTATCCGAAACGGTATCGAGCGCTCCGCCAAATGTGTTGGAGCAGGCGCAGTATTCGGTTCTGAACGAGGCACAGCGGCTGAGCATGCGTATCGCCAAAGGACTTGTCAAGCTGCGCAAGGCCCTCTTCTCCTTGGAAGCATCGGTGCGCGAAGCCACCGAGGCATCAAGCCCATCCGACCTGACGCCGTACACTGCCTCTTTTTCTACTGTGTTGACACACGCGGCGGAGCATCTGCCCCGAATGGGAGAAGTCATGCGGACCTGGAGATATCCTCTCGACCCGAGTCCAGACGTTGTGAGCTTCCAGCAATCTCTTCGCCGTAATCGGGAATCTTCCTGGAGATTCGTCCAAGCTGCGGGAACACTTGCACGGTTTCTGGGAGGTGAGATCCAAAGTTTTTCCGAAAATGAAGATTCGACGATGAACCTATTCCAGCAGATAGTACCTGCACCCGGTGAGAATAACGTGATTGTCACGAAAGAGCAATTTGGCTATGATTTCGTCAAAGCTGTCTTGCTGTTCTTCGAAGGAGGAAGGGCCGCTGTATTGGCTGGGTTCAAGAGCAATCCCTTTCACAGGCGTAATCTGGCGCGGTATCCGATTCCTGAAATAGCTGACGACAGTGCTATCGAATCGGTCCTGGTTCCTTACCTTCAAAGCTTGGCAGGGGACTATCCGGTGGTGAATGTCGATGCCTCGAGATTCGAACATGACAGCACTCGCACACTGTTTCCGACACAACATGCTGCAGTTGCCGCCTTTGCAAATGCCTTGAAACTGCCGTTGGAGGATTTGGGACATGTTGCAGCCAGGGTTAATGGTGATGGTGGGACTGCACATCACGTTCGATCCCTTGACCGGGCTTCAGCAACCAGGTTCTGGGTTCTCAGGGTAGGTCGAGGCATCTTGATGGAGACAGGTACTGGAGTCAACTACGCCTTTGTGAACCGGGCCTTTGGCGGGCTGCGCACAGAAATCGAAGATAACTCGGACAGTGAGCTTCCGCAAGAGAGATTGCAAGAGGATATTGACGCTAGCGTTGAGGAGGAGCCGATTCAAGACGTGCACCTAGTGACTTCTGGTGGCCCTACGAGCGGAGACTCTACTCATGGGCACCCACGAACGCGGTCCACTAACGGCGGCCCGGGAGTTAGAGATGGGCACTCCACTGAGCACGGCGATGCGGTGGTCGTGAGCGAGGATGGCTTCGACGAATCAACCGAAGATGAAGAAGAGGACGAGGATGAAGGAGACTTCGACATGGAACTTGGCGATTCTTCTGACGAGGACGAGGATGAGGACGAAGCCGAGGAGCATCTGATCAACAGATATGGTTTTCGACGAACGCGAAGAGAGGATGTCGAACTGGACGTGCCTTGTTCCTCGCATACTAAAGTCTATCGGGGGCATTGTAACATCAAAACAGTCAAAGACGTCAATTACTTTGGGCTGAATGATGAGTACGTCGTGAGCGGCAGTGACTCTGGCCATATATTCATCTGGGATCGGAAAACAGCGAACCTGGTCAACATACTCGAGGCGGATAGCGAAGTTGTCAACGTTGTGCAAGGTATGTTCATTTTTGACAACATAAACGGCATTAACTCATGCTCATTTGTAAGGACACCCGTTTGAACCGACCATCGCCGCTTCTGGAATCGACAACACTATCAAGATCTTCTCACCCGATCGCCATGCGCAGGAAAATGCACGCCGCGGCATCAACATCCTGGACCCCGATAACCCAGCCAGCGCGCTCGGTGCAAACGTTGCCGGTATTGGCGGCCTCAAAAGTTGCAAACGCATCCATGATAGCTACCGGATCATGAGCCAGAACGACGTCGATCGTCAAGGAGGCATGAGCGAGGCGTACATCACTGTAAGTCATCTGCTTCGTTGTTCTTGGGCTTTTATCCTCCTATTTTCCTGCATAATCTGACACCGTCATTCTCAGAGGAGTATGCTGGCTCGGTTAGCTGCTACTTTACGGCAAAGACAGACTGCTGGAGGTGCATTGGTGGACGGAGCGGGCGAGGGCGCTACCATTGTCCTGGACGAAAATTGCACTGTAAGCTCTCGTATTATTCTTATTTCTTGGCATCTTCATGGTTTGGAGACTAAACGTGTTCTGTGCAGGTGATGTGAGTCCGCCTCGCTAGATGGTCTCGAAGCGTGGTCAACTGGTCAACTGGCCATGCGTACGATTCTTCAACGTTATTATTAGACCCAGGCTGCCAACATTGTTATATACACCATTCTTGGGACTCTTGGGCATGTCATGCACTGGCAGCGTATTGTAGTAAGTAGCACTTGGACATGGTAAAATCGATCGACAGAATCGACGGAATTGTAGCGTACATAATCACAAATGCTCTGCCTCATCCATAATCCATATACCTCCAGAACTGCAGAACTGCAGTGCAACCTAGCCAGTGATGGGCTATGATCAGCTTGTCAATTATCATATTTTGTGTTATCATCACGTGATGATAGCGATACCCCACGTTCAAAAAAAAATCGAGATGGATTATGGCTCCAAGGTCTTGGTGAAGCAATTGCAATTTGATGCCGTTCTTGAAAATTCGTGTATAGCACCTAGTCCTTCTTGTCATTATTATTTGTTGGTCTACACATAGAAACCCCGGAGTATACCAACCTGAATATACCCTCCACGATCCAGAACACGGCATATACCTCGCATATAAGAACAGATTACGAATTCTACTTAGCAGCAACAGCTCAATTTCCCAGATACCTGAATATACTCGCTGCTCCGCAGCTCGCAAACGATAGAACATAAACATGGGCACAGACACAGGCACAGACACAGACACGCTCCTCCGCGAACGCTCCGAAGTAACCTCCCAGCTGTACGCCGACCCGCACAATCCGCACAGATACCTTGACCGAGGCCGGATACACGAGCGCCTGGGCTTCTCGGACCTTGCGTCGGCGGATGCGTACCGGGCTTTGTCGCTGCTGGAGTCTGTTGTTGATCCCGATGGGTGCGAGTTTCAGGCTAGGCGGCGGGTTGGGAGTGGTGATGAGGAGGAGGATGGGGAGTTTGAGGATATATCGCAGGAGGAATATGATGGTATGATTGGGGGCGTGTATGGGTTGCTTGTGAGGAGCTTGGTTCGGTGTGGGTGTTACCGGGATGCGTATGAATTCTGTGTGCGTGGGCTTGCGCTGTTGGAGGATGCGGGTGTGGGTGCCGAGGATGAGATCGCTGGGCTGAAAACGCAGCTGGGGATACTGAAGACGGTGTATGCTGCTAAGCATGGGAAGGAAGGTGAAGAGGAGGTGGTGGTGGTGGACCCGAGCGTGCTGAATGCGCAGGGCTACGCGAGGCGGGTGCTCTACCCGTGGAACACGCATGAGCCTGACCGCAAGGCGCCCGAGACACTGGCGTTGCTGAACGAGCGCCTGAAAGATGTTGCGCCCAAGTGCGAGGTCAGGGCTGTTGCGCTGCCCGCGTTGCATGGCACGACTACTGCCGCCGACGAGAGCGCAGCAGAAGTCTCCGTGCAACTGGGTCTGTTCGCAAAGGAAGACATCGCTCCCGGGAAGATCCTGCTGCGCGAGTCATCGCTGCTCACAGCCACCAACCGCCTCCACGATGACCTCTGCGATGCCTGCAACGCTCCCCTGCCAGAGCTCTCGTCCGCCGATCCCCCCGTCGCCTGCACCGGCTGCGCCGACACCATCTTCTGCAGCCGGAAATGCCACGACACGGCCCAAACGGTCTACCACGGCGCCGTCTGCGGCCTCATGGACAACCTCGAGTCGATCGGCAAGGATATCCCCGACCCGAAGGACAAGGCCGATTACCTGTACCTCCTGCTCCTGGGCCGGGCCATCGCCATGGCCGCCACGCAGGATATGCACCCGCTCGACCTTCCAGAGGTAAAGTACATCTGGGGCGACTTCCACGACCTCGACCTCAACGACCCCTCAGGCTCAGATGACCCCACCGCCACCCTCCCCTTCTCCTTCCAGCTCAATATCCTGCAGCCGATGCGCATCCTCGAGGAAATGGAACTCGATCCGTACGCCAGCCTCGCCCGCTACGACACCTGGGTGCTCAACACGCTGTACGCCAAATTCCGGGGCACCGCGTCAGGCCGCCTCTCCACCTGGGACGGCGGGCCGGAGCTCTGCGCCGTGCATCCGCTCTGGTGTCTGGCGAACCACTCGTGTGACCCCAACGTGCGCTGGGAATGGGGCGGCGAGATTACGTTCCGGGCGCGGACGGCGTCGGAGCGAGCGGTGTGGAAGGGGGAGGGGGCGCCTGTGCGGCGGACGGGCGAGGGGATCAAGGCGGATGAAGAGATTCTGAATCACTACTGTGATATTGGGCTTGATGTGAAGGAGCGGAGGGAGTGGGCTAGGGGCGCGCTTGGGGGATTGTGTCAGTGTGCCAGGTGTGTCTGGGAGGCTTCTACGGCGTAGATGATTGGACTTGGTACATAGAATGGTTGTGACGGCGATACAGCACTCGAGATACCCGATAGATGACTGAATGACATATGCGAATCTTACAGACACTTCATACATACGACCAATAGATTCAATGCAGATAGTCAAGACTGGTATTGTGCATAACAGCTTACAAACGAATTCACAGCCTAGAAATATAGATACATCTTTGAGAACCCTTGCCCTCCCATGTTGTTCCAGTGATTTTGACCATTAAAACCTGCTGAGTCATTGTACAATGTCCGAGAACCAAAGGCATAATTCAATATGAGCTTTTCTCTTGTTACAAATAGTCGGAGGCGCGGCCCCGACGAGGCGGAGTCCTAGAAAGAGATTTGCGCTTGTTGGAGTCGCGAGGTGGAGGCGAGCGAGATCGTGAGACGGAGCTCGAGTTCCTCCTGCGTCTCTGTTCACGTCCATACCGCGGAGGAGGACTGGGCGATCGTGACAAAGAATCGCCACGGGCACGGCGACCAGGAGGAGGACGTTGAGGCGATACACTTCTCTCGGCACGTCGACGAGGAGGAGAAAGAGACTGCGAGGAGTAGCGTCTGCCACGCGCCCTTGCATCCCCAGCTCGGGGTGGTGGGGTAACAGAGCGCGACGGTGACCTAGAGTAAGACCGGTCTCTCCGGCTGTAAGAGGTTCGCCTTCTCGGCGGCGTGACGGATCGCGAAGGAGAGCGCGAGGCATAGGATTTGTCACGGACACGTTTAGGTGGTGTACGAGAGACTGACGATCTTTTTCGGCCAGCTGGCGAGCGTGAACGACTATAGGACACTGAGCGCCGACGAGACTTTGGAACGGGAGATCTCGATCGACTGTAGCTTGGGGTATAACTTCTTCCTCGAGAAGATCCAGACACTGATCTCGAGTACGACCTTCCACGACTAACCGAGGGACGCCGACCGCGGCTTCGTGAAGGAGACCGTGAATACGAATATGACCGCGAGCGAGACCGAGGAGAACCTGTGCATGTGGAGCAGGTAGAATGTGAACTGACGGACTCCGAATCCGACTCTGCGTCGCGTGCAGGCAGGGCGGGAACAGTCGGCTTGGGAAGATTCTTCAAGTGTTCCCGCATGTCTTCCGTCAGAATACCGAAGCCGATACTCGTGAAGTAATTGATTGAAAAGCGGGTGTTGCGAGGGTTGTCCAGAGGGAAAAGTCCCTCGAAGCTGGGGCGCAGAACTTCATCTCTCAGGCGCTCCTGCAACTTCGCAAGGCCAAGATGTTCCCCTAGATCCTGGAACAGAATCTTGATGAAGATACGGCTGCTAGATGTCGTCTCGTCTTCATTGAGGTGAATGACGGACAAGACATGCCAGCCAATGGCGCCTGTGCTCAGCATATGGCCAAAGAAACGGGCTATATTGCGCAGACGATTAGTTTCGTATCGATGGATTGTGTCGTAATACTTGGCGAAGGCAGCTTCAAAAAGATCAGACCATAAACGGTTGATTTTCGCGAATCGCTCTCCAATCAAGCCATAGAATTTCGAGTAAGTTCGCTCTTGGGAACAACATTCGATGACCATCGAGGGTAGTTCTGGCTCCAGGCCAGGCGGCAACGAGATCTTCATGAGTTTGTGGCAACATTCTTCGAAGTCGATACTGGACATGATAGTCAAGTAGATTGTTCGCCGGAGATTGACGAGATCTGTATTGCTCTGATCCTTGATCTCCATCTGTCGTACTTCCTCCTCTTCCTCGTCAGAACTCTCGTCGGTTTCGTCCTCGTCTTCTTCATCATCGCTAGCCTCGCCAAGGATCTCGGCCTTGAGCTTCTTGTAAGCCTCTTCGTGCTCCTCCCACTGAGGATCGTATTTGAAGACATTGAGACCATCTTGAGTATCAATCTCATCATCGAGACCGATACGATGGGTGATCTGATCTTCCTCCTCAACTAGATCGAGTTCCTCCTTGATCGCCGGATTGTCCTTGTATCTATCCTTGCGAACCTGGAACAGGACCTCGATCATATATTGAACTCGTTTGTCGATGTCGGCCTCGTGCAAAATATTCCTGAATTGATCAAACACCGCCAGAGCGATGGGAGCGCTCATCTCTTCCAAGTGCTGGCCAACTTCCCTGGTCAGACCGACGGCAATCTCCACACTATCATCTGTAGGTTTATGTAGTAGCAGAAGAAGAATCTGGGCGGCAAGCATTTCGTGAGCGACTTGCTGGTTACACAGATGGGCGATAAAAGTTGTGGATGAGATGCAGACGGCTTTATCATTTCGCTTGAATGCTTTTCGGAATTGGACAATCAACCTATTGAGCAGCAATTCGCCGACCTGAGGCAACTTGGTATTGACAATGGCCGTCATCGCCGCGTAGATCGGTGTAAACGGTAAACTCGCCGCTTGCGCCTTCATGATGCTCCTGCAGAACAAACCTCGGCCACGGACCAGGTTCTCCCCGAAGAGCTCGGGAACGATGAACTTGATGTTGGAAACATTGACCTTGTTGATGAGACCGTTGATGGACTTCTTCAGAGCTTCCCATGCCATACGCTGGTATTCTTTGCTGTTCTTGTCCGTGATCTGCGCCTGCAGCGCGCGCAATCGAGCTGGTGGTATGTATGTGCCCCCAGATCGCATATTCAAAAGTTTTTCATACTCAGCTTTGGCGGCAGCTTGCTTCTCCTCCTCCGTCATGGGCTTCCGTGCAGCTTCCTGCTTCTCATGCTGACGGAGGCGCTCGGCCAGCTGGCGCTCTCTTTCGACCGCACGCTCAGGATCGATACGCGGCGCATCCCCATCATCCTTCAGCGAGTCACCAGGTGGCGAGCGACGGCGACGAGGGGAAGGGGACCGAGATGGAGGAGAGCGTTTTCGCGAGGCTGAGGGTTGTGGAGAGTACGAGGTGCCTGGGGGAGGTGTAGGCACGCGAACGGCGGATTGCAACACGACAGAATCCGTCATGGTTGCACTGTGTCTGAATCTACAACTCCGGAGTTTCTTGAGCTAGATATCAACTCCAGAGCTCGAGATGCAGTATGTGATCCGACAAAGTTCCATCAGTTGGGAACGTGAGGCGGCGAAGGGAGGAAAGCCTTAGCGTCCAACAATGTCACGTGACAACTGAGGAGCCAAGCTGGCCTGGACTGTTTATGGGCAGTATCAGAGGAGACATTTCGTTTTGCACTTCCTGCGCTTTTGTTAGGAAGGAAATAACCCAATTCGAGCATCCATTATGGTGAGCGTTCAGTGCCCCCTCGGCCATACCCCCCTTATACTGACTGACTCTGATCGCAGCTGGGCCAACTCGTGGGATCTGCCATGCTCTTGGTCGCTACCGCGATCTTCCTCTATTATACGGCTTGGACTCTCCTTATGGTACTTAATCCACACACCTCTTGACGACGCCTGACACGAAAACTAACTATCAACAGCCATTCGTTGACCCCGGACACCCTCTTCATGACCTCTTTCCTCCTCGCGTGTGGGCGATCCGCATACCTGTCATTCTGACTCTACTGGGTTCGGCCGTGGTTGGTACCTTCATTGGGTTGGTAATGATCAACAGCAACAGAAAGAAAGCCGCCAAAGCTGCTGCTGCGAAGAAGAAGACCTGAATATTGCCAAGAAGGGGTGGCATACAAAGGCCCGGTGAACAAAGCAAAGTCTACCGGAGTTGTGCAAGGGGGTTTCCCCTTGGTTTTATCTAATAAACATGTAACAATATTATCTAAATTCTTTGACGTTCGTTTTACCCCTGTCGAATTAGAGAGGAATCCTTCACGTTGTCTCATCATGAGCATGTCGATGCTTGTCAATGACAAACCGATAGGTCATCGGCAGGCACACAAGTCTACGGTACGAGGTGTCATAGGGAAATGGTACCTTGACGGAGAATTCCCTGGACGATGACAAGCATAGTCTTGATATGACCAGCAGGTATCACGTCTCAGTCGTCGCTTGATCGTCCACCAATGAGACCTTGGGGCCTTACAGATCATGGCTATGCTGCAGACGTGACCCCGTGACAAACTTGACACCGAACACCTGACGCTTGATCCTGAGTCGGAAAGACTTGGTCATTGTTTGACTGGCGGTCACCTCCGGGGGCAACCGTGGATACGTGGAATGTTTGAGCCAAGTTCTAACATCTAGTTGATGATGGTGATGATCATGACCTGCCACCTCTTCCTATGAGGACAGCCCTCAAGCAAATCACGTGTGACATGCTGACCCCGTGTTTCGGGCGCGGATTGTTTGCAATGTTTGTCTTACCCCTCATGCGGGATGGAGGTGGTTGTTTGTAATGCCGTTACCAGCAAAGATACGGTACCTCGTGCCAGATATATAGTCACAGGCATTCATGCTCCAAGATCAGCTGTCGAGAATTCCGTGAGAGATTCTGTAGCATTGAAGTATAGGCTCTGTCTGAATACCTTATCATTTCAACAACTTGTACATATATACTGTAGATGAGACCTGGTTTTTGAGGGGTGCCACCAGAGATACGGAGCTGAAAGTAGGGGGGCGGGCAGATAGGTACCTTACTCTGTACTGATAAGGAGAAACCAGCTCTGGAACTATTGACTGATGCCTCCTAGCTGATGCAGATAACGGGTAAACTTTGGTTTAATTACGTATGAACAGTCAGCCAACCATGGAGAGATGTCATCTACCTATGCTCCTGACCTGCATGGGTATTCCCCCTCCCCCTCTCTTGAACCGTTTACCTGCTCTACATCTCTCTTCAAACAACTATCTGATATTTTTCTTGAGTTTTGTGTTCTGGAACAGTCATACGAGACTGTAATTCAGAGATACTGGAGATAATTAATGAGTTGGAGGCTTGGATGACAGAAGAAAGTCTGGCATCCGAGTCATATTGAATCCCGCATCTACTAAGGCGTATCTAAGGGTACAAATCCCCAGGTACGCGCTGGTTCTCGCGACAGCTCCGCACTCGAGCAGGGAGAGTGCAATAACTTATTCCGTCCTTCCTCTTAAGATCTTTGGCACGCCAATCGACAAACAATAGTATGTTTCAATGAGAGCCCGCAACTGCTTCTTGCGATGACTCACGCTGACAAGCGTTCTATACACAAGGTTCCACGCAGTCTCTATATAGGTTCCCAGCTCATCGATCGTTTTTGCCAGTCAACATCATTGTTTGAACACCCGTTCTCAGACCTTATCAGAGGTCTTGAGGGCGGTCTCCTTAGTGAGATTCTCTGTTGCCTCCTTGAGGCACTCCTTCCAGTTGAATGCCCCCGGCAGCCTCGGACGACTTATTTCGCCAGCAGGGCCGGGCTTCAGGCGATCTCACCCCCTTTCCCCCAGACTTCCCTCGGCCAAGTCCCGAAAACAATGATAATATTGGAAAAACGAAGAAAAAGGGTAAAAACGGCAAAGGAGGTAAAGGGGCCAAAGCGGTAGCCAAGTCTCCGCCTGATGACCTGTATGCATGGAAATCACTCCTTTCAGGCCATAAGCATCATAAACTGACAAAGTCTGTCCTCGATGAAACAGGATTGACACTTCCCCGCCTGTGCTAGCTGAGCCGGCGTCTTATTCAGATACTCCGTTAGCCCCCCCTAGTAATCCGGTTGCCTCGGCCGTTCCAGACGCTTTTGGGTCACTTACGGAAACGACGGAGAATGATCTTGCCATCCGTACGGGAACATGGGCAAAATCAGTTCCATATGGAAAAAGTCCTCCAAATGATGGCATCAATGGGGAGCTCGCAGGCGGGTCTCCCCTCAGCTTCCCTACGCACCTAGATAAAGGTGGTTTCAGTCAACCCTCGTCAACCTCTCCTCCTCCTCGAAGGAGACCCTTGAGCTACGGTAATGGATACCTGAGCAGCAATTTGTCCCGGCAGCAATCCGTAGACAGGCAGAAGAGTCATTCTCTGAGTGGCCCGTACGATGGTCATATTCCCCTGCCTCATCTGCCGCAACCTCACTTCTACGGTGCACCGGATATTGATCTCTCTCCATTTACTGGTTCAAACCGGGTAGCTGGAGATGAAGGTTATTCATTTTGTGGCTTTGACACTTTGTCCGGTCCAGCGTTCAAGTCCTCCAAGATGGGTGGCACCGTAATGCTTGTTGGCACTGATGGGGCCTTGGACGTTCTCGCAATCGAAGACCGCAAAACACGTTTAGTGGGAAAGCTTAGTGGGCTCAGGGGCCGGGTGATACAGGCGAAGATCCTAGCCTCTACCTCATCGAACGATCCGTTCATTTCGTCTAGACCGCATGTCGCCGTCATCATACACGGACCCTGTGCCTCGAGTGAAGACGAAGGCCGGACGTCTTCTGCTGGTTCGGAAACGAATGAGATACCGCCTAGTCAGACTGGAAGGCTTCCGCCGGGCGAAAAGCGCGTTAGCAAGGATGAGCCGAAACTGTACCAAACCAGAGCCGAGATTTACTCTCTCAGGAGCGGAGAGCAGATCGCAACACTGTTCACCACGCAACCTACCCCGTGTTTTGAGAACATTCCCGGATTGCCTGCTCTTGCCCCATCTCCTACTGGGAATCTAAAGCTACTCGTCAGCGGGAACCATATTGTGTTGGCATCCGGCGTCAGTGGGGAGGTGTATGTATACGGCATAAACCCTTTTTCACCGTCATGCGCATACCATTGCTTGGGTAAAACCTGGACAAGTGTACAGACACGAGATGCCCGGCGATACTCAACATCATCCAGTTCAACTGATCCGGATGCATCTCGAAACGACTCCCCGCATGGTTCAGCCGTTTCAGATTACCCTGTGCTGGCGCTTAGAGGACGATGGCTAGCCATAGTGCCACCCTCCTCAACTTATAGAGCTTCTATTCGCGGAACGGTGCCTGCGTCACTTATTCAGGGCAAAGCTTTTGGGCTGGAGACGCGTAGTCCTCCAGCCAAGCCACCAGTCACCTCCGCAACGGACGTCGGCGAGGGCGAGAGTCTCTTTGACAAAGTAGCAAGGGGTGTCACCCAAGAGCTGGTACGTGGTGCACGCTGGATGGGTGACCAGGGACTTCAAGCTTGGAACAGTTACTGGAATAAAGACCAGTCTCAGAACACGTCCTCGCGGCGATCTCCAAATTTTATGGACTTACCACAACAAGGATACAGTCTCTTCCCTCCGACACACGCCCAGGAAACTCAAACGACGTCGCCTGCAGAACCCGACTTTGTCTCGATACTGGATTTGAGACGATTCGATGATGGCGGCGAGACAAGGAATGCTATGCTCAACCCCATCGCTACCTTCCAGGTCCCTAATGGATGTAGCTTCTTGTCATTCTCCCCTAATGGCTTGATGCTACTCACAGCGAGCAAGAAGGGGGATGTCCAGTACGTTTGGGACTTGATGCAAGCCAGGCATTGTCGGGCAGGGGTCTTTCTCTCCGAGGACTCCACAACGCCATCAGCCAACGTGCGACAAGTTGCGCGGTTCGCGCGTCTTACTACGTCTTCTATTGTCGATGTGATCTGGTCCCCTCCATCTGGAGATCGTCTGGCAGTGATCACCCGCAAGGGTACAGTGCACGTTTTTGACCTTCCTCGCAGTGCTTTCCAGTGGCCTCCGTTCCGGCGAGCACGCCCTCAACCCCACAAGTCCCAAGCCAACAATTCCCCCACGGACGAAGCGACTGAGAGAGCGGCTGTGACGAATCCGCTATCCGCCGCGTTTAAACTCGTTGGTGGAAAAACGCAGCCTATCCTGGCTGCTGTCAGAGGCCGCACTCCGTCCGCCGGCTCTGCATTTCCTGCAGTCGGTGCGTTCGCAATTCCCTCCGCAGCGGGAGTCCGAAGTGGGAGGGCGGTTGCTGCTGGCCTTAGCAAATCGATGGGTGCAGCGACTGGTACAGTCAATACTCTCCGGCACGCTGGTGAAAATCGACTGCACCTCTCCGGTCTTGCCCGTGACCCAGCCGCGTCTCGTGTCGTTTGGATCTCGAACAAAGGGCAACCTTTCCTGGGGGTGGTAGACAATGGATTCTTCCGGCTATACCGGGTCAAACGATCCATTTCTTCTCACAAGAATCGCCAGCTGCAGTCGGTCATTGGAAACAAGGAAATCGAGTACAGGTTGCCCGCAAACCTTCAGACTTCATGCGGTCCACTGCTGATTGGGACATTCGCTCATGAACACACTGTCTCTGCCATCTTAACCCTGCCGTCTTCAACCTCACGGCCCCACACTACCTCGAAAATTAGGTGCCAGCCCCTCTCCCAGGCCGAGATCGAGACGAACGCACCTTACCAGCCCTTCCACACCGATCACAGAGTCAATCTCTTCGTTTTCTCGAATGAAAACGAAGTATGTGATCCGTTGACGTGTGGCCCGGGCGGCCAGTGGATCTTTGGCGACAGCATCTCGCTCACCAAACTTCACGTGCGGCCATTCAGCGCCGGTGGCGGCACCAGGGATGATGACGATATCGTGCACGAACAACACCACGGCTTCGGGGGAGAAATGGAGAACCTCATCACTCTGGGCAACAGCACCGGCAACGTTGAAGAGGTTGTTATCACCACCCGCAGGAAGAAGAGACATTCCATGGCGGTCTCCGCTGCTCCTGGCGGCGGTGTCGACGACGGCTTCTTCGAAGACGACTGTGAGGTGCTGGATTTTGCTCGGGACCGGGTTTGAAATTCAACATCAAACCTTTCTGTGCTATTTAAAGCACCCTGTGCCTTATTCCCTTCCGCATCCACGCAGCTTGACATACTTCTAGACTTTGATCTGAGTTTGGCGTTTGGTCTCAATATCGTGCACATGCCTATTCATAGAAATCCATACGAGCAGAGCAGCACGAGATAATCTTGCAGTTTCGAGGTCATTGGAGTTTATTACACGGTTGGTCTTGTTTTTGATTGCTTCTTCTGGCTCCAGGATACCTTTCTTGGGTTTCCACGACTCTCCCTTTGGTTCTGGATGTTTGCTGTGTGCCTGATACTCTTGCAACTACATACTAAATACCCAAATACTGTACCTCTCTATTGAGATTTGATAGACAGAATGAGATCTATGGGATGAATTGCTTGATCTATTATGCATTTGCCGAGAAGGCTTGGGAATATGTGTATATAGGCAAGTTACGACCATCGTCTAACTTGCAATGTCCCTCCTCAAGGAATATGGGTTGCCTCCTCCATCTCCTCGTCCCACCACTTGCGAAACTCGACCAACCGCTGTGTCCGCACGCGAGCCATTTCCCTCCCCGTCTGCGTCTTCATCATCCCCTCCAACCGCACCAGCTTCTCCTGAAAGTGAGCTATAGCATTATTCATATCCCACGGTTCCCCAGGACCAAGATACTTCTTCCCCTGGGCCCCCAGAAACGTAAAGCACCGCCCGATCCCCACCGCCCCCAGCGCATCCAACCGGTCTGCATCTTGCACCACCGCCAACTCCACATACCCCTCCTCGTCGATCAATCTCTGCACCGTCGCAGGATCTTTCACCTCCTTCGAGTACGACACATGCGTCACGATGGTCTGCACCCTCGCCGCGAGCGCCGCATCCGCCCCATGCGCCAGCAGCGCCTGCTCCACCATCCTGCCCGGATCAACCGCCGCCTGCTGCTGCTGCTGCTGTTCCCCCGCCGCAGACGTCGCCGCAGCAACCTGCGTCAGATACTTCCTATCCCCAATATCATGAAGCAAGGCAGCGAGTTTGACGAGGTCAGCGTCGTAGGTGATGTCCGGGTGTGCGAGCTGCTCCTTCTCGAGGATTGTGCGGGCTAGTGTGACGACGCGGTGGACGTGGGCGGGGTTGTGGGAGGGATCGTGGGCGGACATGCAGGATGTGACGAAGGCGGCCATCGAGTTGTAGAGGTGGTGGAAGTCTTTTGGGGGTGCCATTTTTCGTTTCCCACTTTGGTTGGTTGAGGTGGGGTTGTGTATGGGTGTAGTATAGGACAGGAAGAGATATTCTTCTCTGCTAGGAGTTACGTGATTGAGGCGGCGTCAGGCTGTGGATAGTTTGGTGTATCAGAAATGAGGAGATATGGAGTTGACGCGCACCTTATCAGCCTTATCGGTTAGGTGTGGATCTCCCTATAGATCTCCACGCTCTACGGAGTAGGTCGGTCGTCATTCATCGTTGGCATCTACTTGATTACATTGCAGGCATGTACTCTGAAACTCACATAATGTTAAGGTTTAGAGCCTCGATTCAAAGGACGGGATTTGGCAAATGGGGGTAAAGGGGAAAAGCCGGGAGACTTGGGAGACATCTCAAATGGTTCTGAGCGGCAAAGTGATTATGAGAATATTCCGCAAAAGACGTTTCGGAGCAGATAGTGTCTAGGTGAGATGATGGTCACTTGGACAGACCGCGCTGAATTGAACGTCCTTGACAATTGCCTTGGTCTTCTAGGAAGTCGGTCAAGGCAACCGTGCACGCGTGAATGTCAACGTTCATACTATAATTCGAAGTAGACAGCCCATGAGCCAAATTCATGATTAAGCATTTCGCATTGGTATCTCAAAATATTTTGAAAGTACTACACATGAAAGGCAACTATGGCACAGTATTAGGCGGCATCCTTATTAGTACTTCAGTGAGAATGAAGAGGAATAAAATCAATCGACCCGTCTCCCGTAACCCTATTAACTCCCGTCTCGATATTCGTTACCATCTGGGACCCAGTCGCAGCCATGAGCCGCGTCTGTAAAGAACAGGTCATCGTTTACAGAGCCCAGGCAGCAAAAACGAAGCCAAGGAGACCGGCGGCAGAGACACCAAGCTGCAGCTGGTTAACAGCAGCAGCGTTGTGAGTCGAGCTGGAGGTAGAGCCGCTGCTGGTAGCAGTGCTGGAGCCAGATGTGGACTTGGAGCCTGTAGATTGTCCAATTAGCTTTGACTTCCTTGGGCCATTTCAGACCGAATAGAACCAGCAACATACCAGAAGAGCCGGTGGTGGTCGCGGTGTTGGAGCTGACACCAGTGCCGGTGGAACCAGCATTGGTCATGGTCGCGGGGAAGAAGTGGCTGCTGTAGCAGCTGCTCTGGCACGAGGCATACTTGTCAGTGTCGCTAGGAGTGCCAGAGCCCTGAGGGCACGCAGCAACACAGCTGACAGTGTCGTTGGCCTGCTGGTCGCTAGGGCAGGGGACATGGAAACATCCAGCAATGCAGCAAATGTCACTAGAACTGCCTGAATGCAATCGTGAGGTTAGCTTTATGTGATGGGATAGTTCAAGAAGAAGCTATAAATACACACATTTGGCGGCGCAGGAGGCCTCGGGTGACAGGCTGGCGGTGGTGGAGGACGCGCTAGTAGTGGTGGACTGGGCAGTAGCCAGCACCAAGAGAGAGGAGACGGCGATGATGTTGTTGAACTTCATTTTTACTTAGACTGACTGTAGAGATTCAGAAGCGACAGACTTGAGATCTCAGTGCAAGAAAAAGAAAAAGAGGATTGTTGGTACAAACGAGAGACTGGTGTTCGTTGATGAGGAGGAGGAAGAAGAAGAAGAAGAAGAGGGAAAACAGAAGTTGGGGGAAAAGAGGAGTAATAAAGTAAGACCAATAACAGTAGGTAGATGATGCCCTCAGGCAGGAAGGGTTCTCTGTGACCTGTGGATATTGGACAGACTAGACTAATTCCAAGTCTTGTCACTCAGTCAATCCGCCTAGGTTTCTTGTCGTTACGCCTTCTCATTAGTAGGGTTTCAGTGTTTCCTGTCTGTAAGTTACTATTTTCTTTTTTGAGATTTAGGACTATCCCGAGTACTCTAACCATCCACTGACAGCGTCACTAAGGCTTTGTGCAGTAACTCCTCAGCTAGCTTAGCTCTGTGGACGATCGTGGTTGGACAAAGCTGTTGAAGAATTGGAGAAATTCAGGTTGTCGTCTGTTAGTCTGGATTCTTCCAGTAGCATCGGCCGATGGCTTGTCCTTACGAAATACAGAGTACAACAGTAATACACAATAATAATAATGATCCAAGGAGGATCCGATCATCGTCGCCGACTGCTATTTCCGAAGCAAGCCACCTTGTTTGGGTGATATGGTGACACTCAATAGACCAAAGTTACCTAGTGATAGCCATAATAATGATACTCGACTAAATAATAATAAAGGAGATGCTCATTCAGTGTGAACCATCATTTTGCAAATCCTTCGATCACCTGCTATGCCATCAAAACTTTGGCCGAAAAAGTGAAAACCCACCCTTGCTGATTATTATTAGCAAAAATAGAAGATCAAAGACATGAGGAGATTGTGGCTGTCGAATCTGGGGTCGGAATTCAAGAAAAAGAGTGCCTAAAATAACCAGATTCATTAGTGTGGCCCTGTCCGCCTCTAGCCCCAAATCATTTGACTCGGACCAGGTTTCAATTTTGACTTCTGTGCCTGTGATCTCTGACCAGAACGGAAATTGTGAGGCAATTAAGGGGGCTGTCTTTGTTGATCCTGGACGCTGCTCCGTCAGCACCCTCGGTTTCCACCCTGACAATTGAGGTCCATACTACTTGGTATGGATAGGGCGACTGTTGCCTTGGATAGAGTATCTCGAATCTTCCTCGTCAAACATCAACGAGAGGCTTAAGTGGAGCTGCTAAAATGGTTTCCATGACTCCTCCCTCCACCACGCTAACAGCCCAGTGCAAAGGACGTGCGTAGACTAGTACCTACCTAAGAGGCTAAGACGATGAGTGAAAGTGCAAACAGGACAAACACCCAAGTGTACTGTTCAATTAGCCTCACGTGATGTCGCGGCACCGCGTCGCGTAGTCGCTTCATCACCAAACAATAGCCTGAGAATCCGACGAGGGGCTATTTGGTTAATGTCAAGCGAGTCGCGACATGTCCGATTCTGGTAACGACTCTGATGATTTTTTTGAGGATGAGATTGACGACGTCATCGTCCCTGGGACACCCGATGCAGTTGAATCAGCCCAGACGAACAATCGTCCAGCAAAGCGCCGGCGCTTAGACGCTGGCGTTTTTGATGATGCAGGCAAGCTACCGCGACCTACAATTTGCTTACGATCTGGATCTGATACCCGTTTGGCTTAGAATCCGATATCTCCATAGATCAAGGCGATGGGGAGGACGAATTCCAATCGCCCGACCGAGGGTCTGTTAACGGCGTTCAATCTGAGGATGTCGAGAGATCCTCCAAGTACAAGGTCTTTGTACCAAAGCGCAACAACTTCCAGGAGAATATCTTCGTCACACAATTGACGCAGCCGCCTTCGCCCCCGGAGATGATTCGTGGCCCTCGATGGAAGAAACCTGGCCCCGAACCTCTTGCGCCCGAGCCTACAACAACCACAGTTGATGGGAGTCATCAACCGGATCAGTATTATGATGAAGATAAAGAAATGGAGGCTGCTATTGCAGCATCACTGCGCTCATTCGAGGAAGAGAATGGGGTAAATACCCCTTCTACGGTATCTCGGTCTTCGGCAGCACAGACTGCTGTCGCGCCTTCGGCAGCACCGAAAGAGCCTGCAGCAGATGTGCCATTCGATCTCGATGATATACCTGACGATGCCTTCGATTCGGACCTATCCTTGTCGCCACCCAGGACGACATCTCAAGCGGCACGTAGGCCACCTGTTCAGTCCCAATTCAGCACCAATCGCCCGTTGGGCCTACGGCAATCCACGTTATTCGACATGGCTGCACGAAATCCGGACATCCCCTCGCCGAGAGGAGAGCAAATTTTCTCGCCACCGGAGAAAAATGAACCTCCTACTCATCACAAACTCAATCAAGAGGCTATAGACACATGGGTCTACCCCACTAATTTGGGGAAGACGAGAGACTACCAATTCAACATCGCACAGCGAGGTCTTTTCCATAATCTGCTGGTTGCCCTTCCTACTGGTCTGGGAAAGACGTTCATCGCAGCGACCATTATGCTCAATTGGTATCGATGGACAAAGAGTGCCCAAATCATCTTCGTAGCACCGACGAAGCCCCTGGTAGCTCAGCAGATCTCTGCTTGCTTCGAGGTGGCCGGCATCCCGCGATCACAGACGACAATGCTGACAGGTGAAGCCGCGCCAGGCATTCGCGCGGAGGAATGGAGAACCAAACGTGTTTTCTTCATGACCCCTCAAACCCTCGTCAATGATCTCAAGTCAGGAATAGCCGACCCCAAACGTGTCGTCCTGCTCGTTGTTGACGAGGCTCATCGTGCCACTGGCGGCTATGCATACGTGGAAGTGGTCAAGTTCCTCAAGCGGTATAACAAGAGCTTCCGGGTCCTCGCCCTCACTGCAACTCCGGGTTCTACTGTGGAATCAGTGCAAGCCGTCATTGATGGCCTGGGTATTGCCAAAGTGGAGATTCGCACCGAGCAGTCTCTCGACATTCGGGAGTATGTACATGCTCGAGACACCGAGGTGCAAACATTCCAGAATTCCGATGAAATGGTGCTGTGCATGGAGCTCTTCACAAGGACTCTGCAGCCGCTTGTCGACCAACTTCGTAACCTTAACGCCTACTGGGGAAGGGATCCGATGGCTCTTACCGCGTACGGTCTCACCAAGGCCCGTCAGCAATGGATGGGTTCGGATGCAGGGAGGAATGCAAACCTTGGGCTGAAGGGCAAGGTAAACGCGATTTTCACCGTTCTCGCGAGTCTGGCCCATGCTATTGATCTCCTGAAGTATCACGGTATCACGCCGTTCTATCGGCACCTTTTGCACTTTCAGTCTAACACTGACGGCCAAAAAGGGGGCAAGTATCAACGCCAGATTGTGCAGGACGAAAGCTTCAAGAAACTCATGAACCATCTCCAGCCTTGGACTAAGAACCCAGAATTCATCGGCCATCCGAAATTAGAATACCTCAAACAGGTCGTACTCAATCACTTCATGGATCGAGGGGAAGGAACGGCAGCCCATGGAGACCAGAGTCAGTCAGCAACACGAATTATGATATTTGTACATTTTCGAGACAGCGCTGAGGAGGTTGTCAGAGTTCTGAAGCGGTACGAGCCTCTGATCCGACCCCACGTGTTTGTAGGGCAGAGCAGTGCGAAAGGATCCGAGGGAATGGACCAAAAGACACAGTTGAGCATTGTGCAAAAGTTCAAGAAAGGCACATATAACACTATCGTGGCGACCTCTATTGGTGAAGAAGGCCTTGATATTGGCGAGGTCGATCTCATTGTTTGCTACGACTCTTCGGCGTCTCCCATCCGCATGCTCCAGCGCATGGGACGTACTGGTCGTAAAAGAGCTGGTAATATTGTGTTGCTTCTGATGCAGGGCAAAGAGGAGGAGTCTTATATTAAGGCCAAAGACAATTATGAGAAAATGCAGCAGATGATAGCCAGGGGCACTCGTTTCACCTTTCATGACGACACATCCCCTCGCATATTGCCCCCAGGAGTTCGGCCTGTGGCTGACAAAAGGCAAATCGATATTCCAGTGGAGAACACGCAGGCTGATTTACCAGAGCCCAGAAGGAGAGCACGGCCCCCAAAAAGGCCGCCGAAGAAGTTCCATATGCCAGATGACGTCGAGACTGGTTTTGCAAAGGCGTCCAGTCTCAGTGGGAAAGGGACGAAGAAAGCAGAAACTAAGAGAGCCGTTCGCAAACCAACTCCAGAGCCTGCGGAGATTCCCACCCTGGAAGAAGTTATCCTTACGCCTGGACAGCAACAGGATCTTGAGCGACGCTATTGTCATATAGGAGGCACTAGCCCAGAGTTCATCCGGAACCCCCGTGTTGACGCCTATCCTCGTCTGCAATCCGTTCCCAGGCCGACAAAAGCTGTCAAACATGGTTCCTTGACCTGCCGCATGATTGGCACTCTCCACAAAATGAGTAAGGTGAGTGCTGATTGTGAAAGCCGATATAAGAGAGTGTTGGCTCTGGAGTCAAACAAGAAGAACGAGGACTCGGTCCTCTCTCGCGGATCGGTTCCTCCAGCGCAGAACAGTCGACCGCCTGGGAACAAGCTTCACTCGTTGAAAAAGCAGTCGGCCACTTCAAAGCCAAACAATGTACATGTGCGGAAAGACGTAAATGTCGACGATTGCACTCCCGAACTGCTGTCCCCAGAGAAGTTGATGTCATCTTTTCTGGAACCTCATACCGAGAGACCTTTCTATTCATCACAAAGAAGCCAAGATGCTCTTGAATCAGACCTTGAATTCCCTGATGTCGAGACACTTCTCAAGCGCAGCGCACAGCGCCATGCTTCTCGCAAACGGAATAGACTTGTTCTTGATGATGACAGTGAGGATTGACATTTTGGGTCAGCGTGGACACTTTTGGATACTTGAGCTTGACATTTGGAAGTTTATCATCGTCTCTAGATACCCAAAATTAGATAGCAATAGATGAGTCTCGGATCTCTTTTTTGGACTAAGGGTT